GCCAGCTGACAATGAGGTGTAAATCTAGTTGATAAGCTTTAATTAGGTGCCAGCAGCTTGTACGATACAACTGAAATATATACGATTGTTAATCTACCAAAAAATACTTTTTATTAGAGGCCATTTTAACAAGATTTTGTTAAACGTTTCTTGCGGTATTTATTGAAAACTATAATTATAGTAAGATAAATATATCGAGCCTCAAATTACGCGAGTCTATTTGTAGAGTTTTATTTTGAGCGTCAGTAATTTCCTGACGGAGGAAGCGGCTCATTTCTCTAGGAGGTCATTCTTCTTGATCGCACTTTGAGGACAGACGCGTATGCGCACGCGGTCTTCAGCTTCTCTCACGGGCAGAGACCGATCGCTCGAGAATATCGCGAATTCCGATCGCCCACGTCGAACGAAAGCCCCCTTGCCGCGGATTATGCAATCGCTGTCGCATTGTTACGAGGAGGCGGGGGAAAGGGGGGAATACCCTCGTACCATTATGTCCAATTGCCGGCGAGTAGGCAGGCCAGCTCGCGCGCGTATATCGGCGTAAGTTATGCACCGCGCGGTAATTGCGCGCGCGGCACGGCTTGTGCACAAGGACAGGGCGCGCCTCGCGGTACACGCGCTGCTCGAGACGAAAAGAGAAAGATGAAAGCTAGGATTCTGCATGGGGAAACGGGAGAGGGTGACCGACGGTGGCGCGAGACGCAAACTTCGCATTTCGCACATACGTAATCGGACACGCACCTGACGGCGTATGGCCCGCGCATTCTTCAGCCTGATGGTTTTATTTGCAATCGTCGAACGTCAGGAATGCTCGCCGGAGGCACGTGGTTTAGAAATTCTAAGCAGATTCCTACGCTATTTTTTTCGATGATTTTCAATGGTTTCTGGCCTATTATATTCCTATTAGGCAGTAGACCGCTGCAGTTTTGTGCACCTCCTAGCAAATTTTAAAAGCGATGTTCAACAAAATTTAAAGTCGAGGATTGATGTTGTGATTCATCCACCTGTTGTGTGTTATCACTTGTTTCATGTCAGATTGGGAATATATGAGAGTTTCGAGAATTTCGTTGATAAAACTGCTTGTTGGCCGTCCGCCAACGTACATGCACGCGTGGAAAACATTCGTTTCGATCGTGAATGTGATTTTTACAGCTCGCAACTTCCGGCGCCTATTTCTAGAAGCAAAAGGTTGTAACGTCGTTTACGAAATCGACAATATCGCGTCGCTTTATCGCCCCGTAGCAATAACACCGTGACCAGGTTCAGATTTTCTTCGCAGATTTTTCAAAGCAAAATTTTTTGATGATTCATTAGGGTTAATCGGCGCGTGAATCAGCTTTCACGACGAAACGTAGAAATATATAACAATAAGGTGCAATGTACATGGAAATATTGATTCATAAGTACGTGCGTTGAATGAGCTGGCGATAAACTTTTTAGGCTCTTATGATCTTGAAAAATGTTATGTCTTATCTTTGTTACTCATTCAATAAATTCAAATATTGATAACAGAACGATATCAAGAATATCGAGATCAAGGACTGAACTGAACATAGAATTTTTCTTATTCTTACTTATTTTTTCACTTACGAGTTTTATATATACGTATAGATCCATTTTAAACCGGATTCTTAAATTTTTTACTTAAATACATGAAAAATTTGTAATTTTCTATAAAAGTCAGTTCTATAAAAAATTACTATTTTTGTCTCATATAATTTTTAAAGTATTATTCAATCACAAATAAATCACCAACGATAAAATTTGATGCACTATTAATCTGATCAAGATAGAAATCTAGATAATATAAAAAATAGAAAAAAATAAAAAGATATATTTCTTACCATAAGTGTAAATGAATTCATTAGATTTAATATTTCCTTTCTATTACAAAAATTTCTTTCTTTCTCACCGTTTCCTTTCTTCGCGTTTTTTAATAATATCATTAGAATTTCCAAAAGTACGCAGATTTGTGCTAATTTTTTTCTATAATATATTTAATGATGTACTTTATTTTTACGCGTAACATTTAAAGTGTGAATGTCTCTCTCTCTCTTTCTTTACAATCGTTTTGATACATCCATCAGATTTGTTTGCTACGAATTGCTGTATATACACGCTCGCGTTAGCAATTGTTGACTATTATTCCATTCTACAATTATAATGAGCAAACGGCCGCAAAAGATGACGAATCAAATGCGTGTACAGCTAGCAATCGTTACGGCTGATTGTGAGTACGATTCTCGCTCATTATTGCAGCAGCCTCTAGTAAGAGCTAAATCTTTTATTTTTATATTTAACATGTGATATTTATTTATTACGAATTATGTTTATATATTTAAATATCTTTGTGTAGAACTTTTTAAATTTACCAAATATTACTTAAAAGTAATAAATATGACATTTAATAAGGACGAAGAACATTTTCGTAATTTATGTAAAGAGCAAATTTAATTGCCAAAAGAAATACGTTTTTTTATATTTCGTTTCTTTTTTTATATTCATTTTTATCAGTACTTTTTTGTTGGTACGTAAATTGTTTTAAGCGCGTAAAGTCTCAATAACACTCTATATTCCTACTTTCAACATATGGAGGTCAGCATATATATCTTCTTGCATTCACAGATAAATTCGTGTTTATATTCCTCTAACATTTTCATTTCAAATTCAATGAATAATCCATTGTACCGTATGTAATATTAAATTTCAATTAATAAGACCACTTTGTGTTCGTTAACAGAAATTATTTATTTAATATGAAGTGATCCCTTTAAAGAAAAGGAAAAGACAAAATGAAGATAAGATCTAAATTATAAATTTTTTATTAATGAAGTGTTTCGAAGTAAATTGCATGATCTTACGAAGCACGTAACATCTTTCTTCCTCGTACAGTCATGTGCTATTTGAATTAATTAGTCAATGATGACGGTAACGGATGGACGTGTCCGTCGTAATACGTAGGTTGTAACCGGTGGCCGTTTAGTAACTGCATACGACCGGCGGATGTGGGTCACTGAGATTTCTCGTCGACGGCGGGGCGTTATCTCTATGCCGGCTTCGCATATTGGTGTAATTTCGCTCGTTCCGCGTAACCGAGCAGATCCTCATGAAAACATTCTCATGAAAACATACGCGTCTTTCTTGGCATCGTAACAGACATGCCATTGTGGGCATGTAGAATGAATGCAATTTCCTTTCCTCTCCGAGTTCATCGGTTTTGCCTCGTGATTGTTACAACGATAGGAACGGACAGTTTACATATGTAAAGTAATCTTAAAATACTACATAGTAATCTTAAATACTTTAGAAGGATATCGCGGTATGAAATTTTATAGTTTGGATCTTGGTTTAGATGCATTGCAGTATCCGTTGCATAAGATAACATTTGAAAACAATACCTATACATTACTGCAGATCGCGTTTCATGATCATCATGCAACTACGCAGATATGGTCACTGCGGATATATCTTCACGCGTGAATCATGCAGCTAAATAGCTTCAACGTGCCTTATTAGAGAAACTCTAGTGACCCCCACACTTGGTGCTCATAGAGCGACTCGAATATGTGTATAACGTCCGATATAATGTGATCACACATCGGCCGATGATGATAGTCGAGGAAAATATCCTTCAATACGCATTGCTATTTTTAGAAATTAATCGAAGACCTCGTGGAGTCGCTGTTTTTTTTTTTTAACGATGTTGACATTTGCGCGAAAATAACAACCGATACCTAAAAAGATCATAGTGTAAAAACAAGTTGTAATCATATAATGTAAAAACATGGTTGTAAATCAATTTTCGATATTTTTGTATCATAATTACGACAATCTCGTCTTACAACATGAAAAAACAAAGTCAAAATAAAGGAACTTCGAATAGTTTAGAGTACTTTTTACAGTTGAAAATTGCTTTACAATCGTTTTATACAATGAATTGCATGTTTGTTCATCCCTTTTGACATCACAAAAAAATTTTAGATGAACATGATGGATTGTTTGTAAATGGTTCGTACATTTGCCGAGTATTATCAGCGTACCGCACCATTACGTCATGCATCACATATTTAACGTACTTAATGATTATAACGAGGCACGCGAAGTACAGCCTAATTGAGTCTATTTAAGCTGTAGTACGGAATTAATGAATCGTGAGTTAAACTATGCGATAACTGTGTTTATAATGTATTACTTTTTTAATTATATTTTTATTATCTTGGAATTTGGTAATTTATATATACTTTTACATTTCATCTTATATTCTTATATTATTATCTCATTAGAAGAGTGCAACAGACCAATGCTATTGGTTTTAATTACAAGTACCGGGGAAAAAATAATAAGTGTGTGCTGTTTCGATATATTGGAATTAATAACTTTGATATAAAGCCAAATAGTTTTCTCAAAATTTTTTAAATAAATAAAACTTGTTTTTTAGATTTTTATGTCGAAGTCTTAAGAATCTCAAGTCGGATCAGTGTTGAAAAAGAGCTGTGCCATGCGATTAAACTTTTATTAAAGCGGTTCATTAAAAAGTTGGCGTGTCAAATAAATCATAGAGTCATAATTTCTGCAATATTTACATAGCTTCGTCTTAGATTTTCTCTTTTGACCGAGCGAAGTTCAACGTCTAACGAGACTCACGAATTGCTGCCGCCGTTATACGGCGTGCAGAAACGCACATTACGTGTAAATGCGTTCTTCGCTTTAGTATGTTTTCTAGTCACCCGTGTATATTTAGTGACACGGCAGCCGCTTAAGCCAGTCGCTTGCAAAAGGTCAACATTGATCACACCGTCTATAAGCGTGCCGCATTATTGCCGCTGAGAACTTAAAAGTAAAGTGCTGTATGGCTAAGGTGCTTACGACTCGGAGCTATAATAAATGGAAGTAACGGCTGCCGTCCGTAACGGGCCGTATTAATAAGAGATTGCATACTTTTCGAGGCGTAAAGTCGTCTCAAAGACGACGCTGCGGTAAATGAGAAACTGTATCGATATTGTGACATAAAGTAACGTTAACGTTGCAGCAATATGATGCGATTTACGTCATGTACTTATATGAAAAAATCATGAAGAAGAAAAGTAAAGAAACGCGTCTATATAGTTCCAAGAAATTTCCCGTAATCTCCGGGAAATCGCGTAAAGTCTCTCGTTATACGGTTTCAAAGAGGGTTTCCTGGAAACCGTATTCGAGGAATGGTCGTTGTTTGATCGATGCCCAGAACTGTTCACGGTTGGATTTACTCTCGGAGCGGCTGTTGCGCGTTACGAGCCACGAGAATGACGTCGTGGAAAGGGGTTAAGTACCGATCGAGTTGGACGCTGCACGACGAAAATATCGAGAATGTGGAGCATGTGAGCCTCGATCCCGAGATTCAGCGAGAACTGGGTTGCTCGGTCGGCGAGCACGTGTTCCTGGAATATCCTTGGGCGTATGTGTCGCGAGAAGCGGTTTTGAGGCTCGCCAACGTCGCGGGCTCGTCGCTGGAGCCGTACCGAGATAGGATCCAGACTTACGGCGGTGATACTTTTCTCGTGGGTTATTCGTCCACCGAGTTAATTGCTCCCGATTTCGTGATCTGCTTGACGGAGGATGCGAGATTAGCGATAACAAAGAGGAACGCCAATATTAGCAAGGAAATCCGGAACGAAGTCATGCGAAAGATTAGAAAGACCGGCGGATCTTGGAAATCCTTCGGAAGCGAGGCGGAACTTGATGAGGGCTTGGTCAGAAGCACGAGAGAGTTCTTTGAAGTGGAAGTGTGTCTTCCAATTAAGTCTTTACGTTTAAATCGAAAGCTTTGCGACGGATCTTCAGAAAGATCTTGGGATAGTTATGTGGAATTAATTCCGTGCGAGAAATTTGAAAATATCGAGAGAAAATGTGTCTCCAAGATGATTCAGACGCACTTCGAGCCGCGGGAAATCGAAGTTCAAACTTATCCCGGTTATCCCAAGAACGCTTGGACCCAATATCTCTACGAGGACGCCCTGCAGTTGCAAGCTGATAACGCCGAATCGGAGGGAGAGGAGAAGGAGCCGGAGGAGAAAGAGTCGGCCGAGGAGAAATCCGAAAAAGAGTCCGAAGAGAAAAAGACCGAAGGATCGAAAGAGGTGTCAGAAATTGACGCGGAACAGAAGCCCGCGGAGAAGAGCGCCTTGGAGCTCTTCTTGGAAGATCGCGCCCGGGAAATGATCGAGGCCGTGTGTTACAATACGGTCGTGAACGTGCACGTAGACGACATCGAGACGCTTGCGCAGCGAGAGTTCGAAATAACCCGGCCGCGAGATGAGATCACTTGCGCAGAACGCCTCTCCCTCGTCGACCTACGCTTCACGGCAGGCAAGGTCATCTCCGACGCTTCCTGGCACCCGGGCCTCGTCGGGTACGTGGCCGTCTCTTACGTTGCCGCACCGTCGCGCGAGACCGGCCGATCTTTGATCGTCGAACGTGGCGTTGCGTCGTCGAGACCGGAGCCGACGGTATTGCTGTGGTCCCTCGCCGATTCTCTTCGGCCTCGGTTGTCACTGTGGTGCCATCAGGAAATCTACTGCGTCTCCTTCTGCCCGATGAACAGCGACTTTGTAATCGGCGGTTCTGCGTCCGGCCAAGTGGTCGTCTGGAATATTCACGGGCAAATAGAAGATCGAGATGTTGCAGAGGACATTAACCTTGACTTTTGGTCTCAGGATACCGTTTCTATTACTTCTGCATCCGCGGTGTCCGAACGGGATCATTCGCACGAGCTGCCGATTCGCCGAGTGCAATGGCTTCCCGATAATTACAGAATAGAGCCATCTGGGAAACTGACGAAACTGTCCACTAGCTCGAGCTGTCAGTTTCTGACGATTTCCGAGGACGGTATCGTCGCCATTTGGGATCTTCTTAGATACTCCGTTACCTCTCAGCTAAAGCCGTGCGATCGCGAAGATCTTAACGGTATTTTTCGGCCAACCTATCGCTTGAACGTTCGGCCTTCCGACAACCCGTCTTTTACACCTCTTCACCTGTGTCTTCCGTCGGTCAACGCTTTTCAAGAAGGCGACAGGCGTCGTAACGAATTAGATTCCACGGATGTCGACTGCACGAGGAGATTGTGGATCGGCACGGCGCAGGGACATTTTGCTTGTTGCACCTGGGAGGGCCAGGTGTTCGACGTGGAAACATCCGGTTTAGAGGAGTGCAAACTTCTTAAATGCACGTCCGCGCACGATGGTCCCGTTGTAGCGATTCTGCGATCGCCGCACCTTTCGGACGTTCTCCTGACGATGGGTGGCCGCGTCTTCGCCATTTGGAAGGACGATTACCTAGACCTTCCTCTGTTCCTTCGAAAGTCCGATTGCGCGTACACCGCGTGTTGCTGGGGAAATCGGCCGGGAACTTTCCTGATGGGTAATAGTTTGGGCGATCTGGAGGTTTGGGATATCAAGAGGAGGGCAAACGAGCCGGTTCTCACACAGACTATTTCCAGAAAACCGATAACCTTCTTATCGCTTCAAGAGTCGCGTAAACACGGTTCTAAGCTGATCGGCGCCGGCGATTGCAACAGTGCTTTTCGTATTTTTGAGGAACCAACGGAATTCGAGGACGATATACTCGAAAGGATGGACTGGTTTGAAGAATACATATGGCGAGAGGTGAGAAGAAAGAAGATGTTTTCTTCGTGGCAGAAAGACTTTCTTCAAAATGACGCGACAGTTATCGCTAGAAGGCAAGCGAGAGAAGACGAGGAACATAGATTAAAACTTGAAGCGACAAGGCTGAAACTTCATAGAGATCATGAAGAACGATTGAGGTTGGAGGCTGAAGAAGTAGCACGCAGAGTGCCGAAATCTAAAGATACTCTATGGAAACTGCGCCAGCAAAAGAGAATGAAGAAGGTCCTTTTAGAGAAGAAGAAATTTCTGTCGCGTGAACTGGAAGAAAAAAGACTGCCATTGGTCCGTTTAGCTGAAGAGAGAAATTTAAAAATGATGAAAGCAAAGAACGAAGCCGTGCTTCAGGATAAGCATTTCGATAACTTTGTGTCTCTCAAATTTCCTGAATATTACGATCTTATAGAAAAAGACGAGATCTCGGAAGAAAGACCTGAGACGATAAAGGATGATAAAATGATAGATGTATTTCTGCAAGAATTTTACAAAATCAGGGATGAAGCGCGAAAGGTAATAGCGGAAAAGCCATATGTCCCAAAATTTGATTGGAATACTTTTATGAAAAAGGGAAAGGAAAGCAGGAAGAATTTGTAAATGCAAATGCAAAGGCTTTTCTGAAAGGCGTTCTTATAAGAAGAACGGTTGCCGTTTCAATTTTGCCTGATAATGATTTGGATTGTAAACGTAAGTTGATAAGATAAGATAGGTCAACAAATGTTCAGAAAATTCTTTCGAGCAATAAATTATATATAATTGCAATGCGCATAAATATTGAAATTATGAATTTTTAAAGAATGACATTATATGCAGAATAGAATAAAACATTAAAAAATAATAAGCGTTAATATATATGCGAGAGAAATCTATTAAATAAGGCGGAATAAATTATTCTGTACAAAATAAAATTAATAAGTTCCTCTAATTCTGCAATAATTAAAATCGACTCACAATCAGCTACAATAACACACATGAGCGTTTTATTTTTGTATACAAATACTTTCTTGATATATAAACAAATGTATAAATGTAAAATAAATTTTAATTTTTCCCAACTTTTCTTGTATCAAATACTTTATTCTCGTTGAGACAAGTTGAAGCTATAAGTGATCGTACAGTAAAATCTTTTAAACGTCATACTAAACAAAATTCGAATGTGTGGAAAAATGTCACAAACTGCGTGCGAATACTGATCTTTGTAGCTTGTACGAAAAACTGTTTCTATGATTGTTAAAGCTCCTCGTTTTAAGTTAGCCAGACAATGACGATAACGAAGATGTTTGATCATTTTCCAGGGCCTGGGCATAATATGTATGGCGTGTGCATCTCCAGCGTACATAAGTGCAACTCATTGGTTTCTGTTTGTCGCCGTAATGTCTTTCATATCCACACTTATATGGAGCGCCATATACTTCCTGTCCCTCCGGGAGGTACTTAAGGTGCCCATCAACTGGATCTTAACTGTAAGTATACAATCACGGAAGAAATTTTCACGAATGTGTGAATGTCCATCATTAAAAGCGATTTTAAGATACGTCTATATGTTTGATTAAAATAATAATTATTTTCTAGGAACTTCTAAATACGTCTATAAAAGCTGTGCTTTACATGATCGCATTCATCGTCCAGTTATCGGCTTCGAGCGCATTCATCAGAACTTCGTCAGCGAATATCGCTGCTGGGGTAAGGCTATAATAACACTTGAAAAAATTAAATACAGTAATTGTCGATATTGTTAAAACGTAATCGACGTTGCTTACAGGTATTTGGAATTTTCAATACTATCGCATACGCCGCCGGAGCTTATTTCCTATACGTTGAATGGAAGAGCACTAACACGCAATGAGCACTGTCGGCCTGCAGAGGATAAGCCAGGTACCTGAAGAGCATGTAACAACAACAACAACAATTGCCGCGACCAGATTCGCGACTTCTCAGCGTCCGTCCAAGGAAATTTCGGCATGACTCCAAGATCGTGCTCGGCAGGAAAGTCAGCGCTGGGAGGGACGGCTTGAAACTAGTCCGGCGTGATCCTCCTCAGATCGTGTGTAGCTTAAAAAAGACTCTGTACCTACGTGCCTTAAGATTAGTTACTTGTCGTGATCGTCGTCGTTAGAGCGGAGATCGATGCCGCGTCGAGAAGAGTCGACGAAGTCGCAGGAGCGAACGGAGTGCTACATTCGAGATATCTGTCTGAAGACAATAATGTTACGTTCACAAAGCCTACGCGAGATCGTGTAATTATATCTAAAATTATAACATAAAAATAATCCAAGAAATAAAATTAACGTTGATTTTTAAAACTCTCTAAACGCAAAAACAATTTTTTTTACGTGAAAGTTCCAGTAATCTTGATATTATATTTGAACATTATATATTTTACCTGATTTTGTTAATATAGAAATAAATATGTATTTTTAATATAAGATAAAGATAATTAATCTAGGCTAAATTATATTTTATGGCCGAAAATATCTATCATTCAGTTTTTCACATGTCATCTGTTTATTTTTATTAGTTTATCTCAAATTTCTGAGAAACTTTATTATTTTACATTTTAGGTCGCGTCTCTATTGTATTCAATATTACACTTAGATGCTAAGGTAATCTTTGCAAAATTGCATGCGAGACTGGCGTAATTTCGTTTGTATTACCACTTCGATCCTTCGGCAGACGACAAGATAAATAGTTTTAAGAGACCTTAATATATCAGTGTGCGGTAAGTTTTTGGAGGGCCATCATTGGCTTTCGGTACAATTCAGTCGTCAAAGACTCGGTGCTTACGGTTTTATAATCAACAGCTATTTTAGCGAAGTCTAGATGATCTTTGCCGATAATTATGAGAAACGTTAATTCACTTCTGAATGTCTCAACGGATTAACTACTTTGATATAACGGATATAAGTGCGTGAAACGTTATTTTCTAACCGTACCCCTACGTACTCGCGAGATCTTATTTATATACACACATATATATTTCTTTATACATAATATATATGGATATGACATAGGTATATATATTATATATACATATTTTCTCTAGATCGGATACAGTGTAATTTCTTTTTACATTTTCTCCCATTCTCATGTAAATTGTATAATACTTTATATGAGTTAAGGGAGACCCTTGTCTCGATGGAATCGGTTATGGATATAGCTTACATCGACTTATCGATCGTTCTTTCGTTATATTCTTTCATTATGTCTATGCAGAAGTTTATGTTAAAAAAAAAATGCCTTTTTGCGCATCTCTCAACATACAGATCAATAATGATGCTGTAAAGCCGCGTGATAACACTGACGCGATTAGCTGAAGCTAAAAGTGGACATTACGCTGGCAATTAAGATTGCCACTCTTCTTATATTATCATCCAGTGTATTTGTTTACTTGTCTCTCCCGTTCATTCGTTATCTCCCAGTTCAAGCCGCATCGACACTTACGCATTTACCTTCTAAAAATTGTCTATCTCAACATTGTTATGTTCGTTTATATGTAGCACTTGCCGCGCATCGTAATTGACTTACGTGCGCGGTGATATATACATAATATATATACACATATATCTCTGCGTTTAAATATTTTTTTTTAATTTTCGAAGTTTATTTATTTTTAAGCTATGGATGCTATACATAAATAAAATAAATTTAAAGACCATTGAGTGCATGGGTGTTCCTTTATTGCCAAAAGTTTTATCCTTATCGACTCATTTAATTCCTATATACTTATAGATAATTTCCATGTGGATTTTTATATTACATATGGATTTGAATGCAAATCACAAAAAAAATGTACAGCGGGATTGTGCACGTAAATTGGTGTATCGCGTTGACATTCGTTGTGAATAATATACTTTATCACGTTTTTACATTTTTCGTTTTATTACTTAGTTTTATTTTTTTTTTGTAAAAGAAAAGACTTTTGATATGTTTATTTATGTTACACCCCTTTGAGAACCGCGATGTATTTACATCGATTATTATAGTTGAGACGCGTATCGTCTAAAAATGTGTGGACGTATGATATCACCAGTGACGTCATCCTTGGTACCGCGCTCAAAACGTAACACGCAACGTCCATGGTGGAAGTCTTCAGTCAGTCGCTGACGGCCGATGTGTAACAACGTCTTTTCTTCAGGTTAGTTAATGCAATTATCGCGCGTGCGCGATTTCTTATGTCATTCTTGATCAAGCACGCATTATGGTTAATTATTCATTTAGCTACACGTCGAATAATTATCCGTTTTGGTCACACACGTTTAATAAGTATTTGATTAATGAGTTGAATAATTTTCTATGAGATAGATAAACGCGCAATATTTGAAGATCACAATATAATTCGATAATAATTACAACCTAAACTTCCACAAATATATTGCGCAGCATTTTACCGTCGCAATGAGATTTTCTCATACCGTTATTAAGGAAGTTGAAAAAGCTTTTTATTCTCGTTTGTTGAATCCAATTTCGTATCTTTTAATTACAGAACACCAAGAACTCGCACATTTTGCGCAACTAGCGTATTGGTTATAATTACTTAATGCACGATTTGCATATTAGATTGCAGATACACTGTCGGTTTCATATACTTCAAAGTTTTTCTCAATTCTGCAACATTAGTGGAGCACGATTAAAGAAGCACGATTTAGTTTTAAATTTATTTGATGCAATAGATTAAATAATTTAGAGAATAAATTGTTAATTTGCTAAATATGAACGAAGAATGTTATTACTATGATAAAATATAATCGGCGCTATATATATCTCATGGAATTTTTACGAGAAAGCAAGGATTTATCAGATACGGTGACAGATTCAGTGTTAATCGACGACTTTGATAAATTTTTAACTCACGTCTTACGTGTGTGCGTTCTGGATACTTAAAAATAACCCATGACTACGCAAGCGAACGTTTACTCGTTCGTAGCGCGGGTGTGCCTCTCAATTTCCGCGATGTCAAATTTTTGCATCATTGATTTTAATATAATTCTCAGTATCGTAGGGTAAACCGTTTGTCTTATCTTTAGTACAAACTTGTAAAATTCTTTTTTTTTCTTAAATACACAAGTAAATCTTTCGAAGATATTTTAAAACTCAAGAATTGCACGAGTAATTTTTTTAAAAGGTATACGAAAAGAGACACGTTTCCGATCACAAGTTAATTTTGATTTTAATGTAACATAATGTTATTTATGTAATAAAAACTACAATTCTGTTTGCTAAAGATTTTTTAATAATTAATTGTTACATTTATTTATTATTTATTTAAGAAAAATAGATTGTATTACTGTTAATTTTATTAACATATAATTCAGTTTGTTAAAGCGGAATTTTACAAAAAAAAATTGCGAAAGCTAGCACTCAGAGTTAAAATACTTTCCCTGTTATCGTACTCATGGCTTCTCTTCAATGAGAGAAAGTAAATCCGAAGGTCTCCACGCACTTATTGATCGGGCAAGCTTAAAGGGTGTGTCAGGATGTTTAGGACGAAGGATGCTTCGCAATGACAATGTTTTTGTGTGTTCATGCGGTTAATCTTTTGAGGTATGGGATATCGAGTCGATTTATTTATTGAGATTAAAATACTTTCAAAAAATGTCTTCTTATTTTTTACGAATTAGATCTTATAAATGCTTATACATTACATCATTAAAGCGTAATATGTTTATATATAATATATAACTTTCGAAAGTAGGTACATATCGAATTTTGGTGGGGAAATAAAAATACTTCTGTTTTCATGGGGCAACAGCGAGGATTCTCGCTCGATGTAGGTCGCACCTCGAAATCTTGACCCTGTCCCACTTGACGCAAGTAAACGTTCCCGCTTACGCATATTGAATGGAATTTTATATAAATAACGATAGGCAACGGAGAACAATCATCTTCGGTTTCAGAATTAACATTAGAACGAGGCAGCGATGTCCCATTCAGTGACGATTAGAACACAAACAGTGACGAGCAGCTCGTCGACGATTGTTGTTAACACTGGCTACCTGAAAACTTGGAGCGGTATTTTAAAGTTGCTACAGGTGGTATGTATCTCATTATTATTGCATTATTTCTTTACTCAAATTATTATATTCCTTGATCAGTTTGAATATTTATCATTTACGTGTTTTTAAATGGATCTTGATTTTTCTTAATTAATTATGTAACAGTCATGAGAAAAGTCATCGACGGTAACGATGATTTTTTAACAAACATGTAGGATAATAATTTCAAGTATAAGTAATACAAGAACTTTACCATTTTTATTTTTTTCTTTATTTCTTTCTTTACTTATAATAAATATTTGAATAAAGGAAGTGATATTACTGTTAATTTGCAGCACATAATTTATGGAAGATATTCTGAAACCTTTGCAATCTTAAGAGAGTATTTTATTTCTTATTATCAGCAGTATTTCCGTTTTCCGCGGCGTTGCAATCGAATATACTTGCTGCGATAATAGTATCCGCAACAGATATTTTTACATACATTGTGCTAGTAAATGTTCTATTTCGATACCTTGTTAATTTTTACATGAGAAGATTATATTTTTCTAATCTGAAAAATTTTCATGTTTTTACAAACAGGCACTGGGAATAGTTTGCGTAGGAATCGTTGGTCACGAATTTGGTCACTATTCTGCTTATCGGAGTACAGCAGAGCTTTTCTTTCTTCTCATAACGACTACTTTTATGATTGGCACTTTCATCCTTCTCCTCAGTTGCGTGACGTCTTTTTCCACTGCATCTATTATATCTAAAACTATTCATGTAAGTACGAAAATTAAAAAAAAAAGTATATTATATATAAAATTGTAATTACATATTCATATCGCATATGATTTAAAATATACCTGTAATTAATTGAATATAATTTATTTAATCCATATTATCTATCCATACTATCTATAAGTATAGATATCTGTACGTTGTTTATAAGTCGCGAAAATATTATTTTTAAGTGTTAAAATTTATTTAAATAATATTAGAAAGTGAGAATTAAGAAAAGATGTTTCAGTAATAATTTATTGTAAATATATTATATTGATTGACGTAGTTTGTTTGAATTTTTAGGAACTCATTTATCATTCCATTGCATTTGGATTATTACTTGCGGCCTCGTTGACACTCTTGGTGCACATCAATAACTATAGACGTTATAACTATGAACTGGTATTAGGCGCATCCGTAAGTACAATGTTACATTCGTAAAAATGGAATTATAATGTACAATAATATTTAATTCAGATTAGTCAAGTTATATATATCGTGTTACAAGATGCCACAAGTCTAAAGAATTCATCTTTTATCTAAAGAATTTAAATAATTTTTAGCGATTTCCGGTAAATTTTTTCTTAACGAGAATGAGAATCGTAAAAAATGGTTTATTAGATCTGGGCACTTTAAATACACATTATAATTAATAAATGTATATTTAAGTTATACCAAATCTTTTATTATAAAAATAATTCTTTAATTTTTGCCTAGATTTGCGGTCTGGTAAACGCGGGCTTATATCTCTTCAGCACAATCATCGCTCTTCGTACTTACAGAGCGGTCTAAACGCTCGAATTATGCGAGTGTTACCAAAAGTGAAAACAGATTCATCATATGCGAATCATGGCAAAATGTTTTACATGTAAAGCATGTATATTTTAGGAATCGTAATATTTGTTACAACAATTAAATTAATTAAATTAATTAATTAATTAAATTAATTAAATTAATGTGTAAATTGTACAACGAATTTTGACTGTTGGATAACATTCAATACTTGGCGAGTATCGAAAAAGGTAGAATACTTTTATGTTGGCAAAGAATATTTTTGTTATATTTTATAAAATTATATAGCATTCACATATTTTTTACTTTTATACAACGATTATTAGTTCTCAGACAAAATTGCGAGATTGTAATATTCACTAAATATTATTTATGTTATCTGTTCTAATTATTGTAAATGAAGTTGGAAAATTATAATTTTTTATAACATAAAAATTAAAAAAATACGCGATCTTCATGTTACCTCAAATCTCATCTGAACTTTACTCTTGTACTCTTGTACTCTTGGATATTTTGTATTAATATGCGCTACATACGTTTATATTATTGGATTACTACGATTGTGTGATTGCGATCAATATTCTCTTACAGAATCTATACTTAATATAAATCTATTTATTTTATATGTGTATATGATATTTATACTTCTCAAATAAATAACTAAGAAAAAATATAAATTTCTATCAAGATTTACACAGAGTTTCGAATGATTGTGTAATTAACATCTTTAATCAAATTTGTATTGCATTTAAAAGAAAATGTTATTATTTTTAAACGAGAGTTTTGTACGAGAATTTATAAGACAGTTTAAAAAGAAAGAAAGATATATAGATAAAATTTAGTTGCTTTTGTAAGAAAGTTATTTATGTTTTTACGAGATATCTTTAGATTCCTTTTTTAAAGGAAATTTAACAAAATTTATCTGCTACTGTACGACATGCCATATCGCTTCGGTACATATACCTGAATCCAATGATGAATAAACACACACACACACACATTATCTTTATAGATTGCACATTTCTTTTTCCACTCACTCTATCTTATTTTCACAAATATTCTTCCTCGTACTCATCACTTTTATCCTTCTCTCTGTTCCTTTGACGTCGTTTGTTCTGCCTTTTCGTCGCTCTCGCTTGCTCCTCACCGAGTTTATCGTACGACAATTTGTAGTTGACAGTTTACCTCAGAATCTCGATCCGAATAACACGCGGAGGTGTCGAAAATGTTCCAAACATGAAATCACTCTTGTTTTCTTTCTGCGGAATTTGTTTTCTCTGTTCACCAAGATCTTGTGAGACAAGACGCGGCGAAAATTTTGAACTGTCATTTCCAACGCGAATAGAAAAGTAATGAAGAATGGAATCCTACGGTTAGAAATTAAAAAAAAATAGAAAAAAAACAATATAAATACTGCATGACGAGTAGTAAGGAGGTAAAAGGTATTAAATATAAAAGTGGAAATTTTTTATAAAATTTAAAATATGCGATGTGTTAATTGAAAACATTCAGTTGTATTGTACAGCAATATTATTTTTATAAGAATAATTTTTAATAAATTATTACAGTTTTATTGCAGATAACAGCATGGAAGAAAAATATGTACAAAGTATTGAAAATATCTTACATATATTGTAAAATACATTATTATTAGTATTGATTATATTAATTTAATATTTTGGTAACTGTATTAATCGGTATCAAAATGAGTTTTATCGATATCGTATATAGATAAGAAATTTCTTACTTTTGATATCATTTTTATAGTTCCAAGAAGGAAAAAACAAGTAACTAACATGAGTTACTAGAATATTATCAAAAGGTGTTATATCAATTTCCTCTGTATGATATCATCGGTGACGTTCTCCACTCACTCAAAATGTATCGCTTCAGTCAATCGTTATCTGCCGATGTAGAACTACGTACTTTCATCAGGTTAGTGTAGTCCTCAGGCACCATGTGCACCATATTTTCTAATCATGATCGCCATGAGCACGCATCTTAATTAAATATTTGTTGGATCAATATGTAAGCGATTCTTTTATTTCATTAAAGATAATTCAGACGGATGGATAACTTCATAAAATTAAATATAAAAGTCATAACTAACTAATAATCGTGAAAAGTTTCCGCAAATATATTGCAGCATTAAAATCATAATGAGATTTTCTTATATTGTCAAGAAAGTTTAGAAACTATTTTTTATTTTCAATCGTTAACTTATTTTTAACTTTATTATTTTAATTTTTTATTGTAAGATTCGAACAATTGGCATATTTTATGTCATTTATGCGAACAATATATTCTTTATGTTACTCAATTATATTCTTTATGTTACTCAATTAGTTTATTACATAATTTAACTTTTCTTCCAATTCCTTAAAATTAGTGGAAAAAATGATAAAATATAATTGGCACATTGCATAAAGAATTTTTTAATACGAGAACAAGTGTTGAACGAGAATTTATCGAGCATAGTAACAGATACGAATCGGTCTTAATCAAAGTCATTATGATAAATTTTCAACTCGCACCTTGCGCCGCAAATGTGTGTGTCGAGTGTTCAAAAATAACCTGTGATTACGAGCGGCGTTTGTTCACTCTCGTAAGAGCATGACTTTGTTTTCGCAATCACAAATTTTCGTATCACTGGACTTTGACTATTTCTCGAAAATTATCTGTCACGTTCCGTTCTCATATAATAATAAACTTATAAAATTTCTGTTTCAAACGTACATATAAATTTCAAAGCTATTTTGAAGAATTGCATGCATACGTATAATATTTGTTACTATTACATTTAAGAAACGTTATATTGTTGCAATTGTTGTTTTCCATAAAAATTGTAATAGTGTATTTTATATCTATATTTTGTGAAAAATTTGCTAATAATGCTTGCATTAAGTTACGGTAATTCGTAGAAGTAAAATGTGCTATATAATTCTTATCATGTTAGATTACGATACAGATTTTATCATATCGTAAAGTTATCAATCTTTCACGCTTTTTCTCTTAATATGGTATTAAAAAGAAACTTTTTTACGATAGGAAATGTCCTTTTAATTCATATAATTCATATAATTTATATAAATGCAATAAAAATTTTTGAGATTGCTTATTACAGTTTTGAAGTCTAAGTCACAAGATTTAAAGTATAATTAAAATACGATTATTAAAAAGAAGTATATAGAATTTTTGCAACTAAATATACAAGTACAGTCTTCCGAGAAAGGCTGTGTTATACTTATATTACATTTACATTTTCGATGAGGTTTTTCGTTGTAGATCCTCGCATTTTGATCTTCACACGACGTTTTTATTTATGTACATTAAATTTTTATAAATTGATAAATATACAACTACACGAATTATCTTTGATTTCAGGAACTGACATTAGGACGAGGCGACAATGATGGGTGTTGTCATAAACGTTGAATATTTGAGAAGTTGGAATGGCATTTTTAAGATCATACAATTGGTATAAGTTAATATTATTTTATTCATTTATTTGTTTGTTCAATTTGTTTGATTGTTGTTATGATTTCTTCATTATTTCAAATATTTAATATTATTTTTAATACAATAAATTAATTATTATTAATGCAATTGCTATTTTTTTAATAAAAATTCAGGATAATAACTTTAAATGCAAATAAGTTTAATTAATCGTTCTTATTGCATTTAATTATGATAAATATATGACATTTAATTTAAAAAAATCAATACTATTATTAATTTAAATTATTTAAAACATACAATTTATGAAACAATTTATAATATATAATATTTGAAATAATAGGACAAGGTTGTATTACTAATTTCTGATTACTGATTGCGAATATATTTTTTAGAAGAATAGTATCCGCAACTTGTATTCCTAAATATAGAATATTGTCGTATTATTATAATAGCCAATTTTTTGACACTGTTAATTGTTGTAGGACGAGATTCTATCTTTCTAATTAGCACTCTTAATTTTTTAACAACAGGTGTTGGGTACGATTTACGTTGGAATCATCGGTCACGAGTTCAATAACGGCTATATTATCTACCCTGCAGAAGTTTACTTTCTTGTCGCAACATGTACTTTCTACATTGGCACTTTTATTCTCTTTATCGGTTATCTAATGTCTCCTTCTGCTGCATCTATTATACCTAAAACAATTTATGCAAGTACTTTAATATACATAAATAAAATTTTGTTCTATTTTACGTACAATTTATTTATTATTTAATCTATTTGTTTTGTCCTTTTCATAAAATGAGGACGTTAAAAACGTGAATTATTGGAAAAAGCTGTTTGATATGATTTATTTTTAAAATTACATTGATTAACAATTTTTTGTTTAAATTTTCAGGAATTTCTATATCATTCCGTTGCGTCCATTTTATTACTTGCGGCTTCAATAGCATTGATGGTGCAGATACATAAGCAAGGCATTATACTTTTAAACTATAATGCGTTATTAGCAGCTTCCGTAAGTACAGTACTATATAAAAAATTAAGTCCTTGATTGTGATATAAGAAATTAAAATTATAATGCGGTAATATTTACATATATATGTATTGTATGTATATGTATGTATTATCAATTTTATGTTGCAGAATGTCGCAGACTTAAGCAATCACCTATAAATTATTTTTATCAGTTTAAGATTAAACTTCTTTTAGTGAGAATATGTCAGAATCATAAAACGTGATTGCTATAGGTCTAGACATATTGTATTTTGTAATTGTATGTTATATTAATGCCTGTTATTAAAATTGTGAAAAAGATGTATTTATTTTTATTTAGATTTGCAGTCTGCTAAACACCATTTTATACATCTGCAACGCGGTCATCGGCTTTGGCACTTATGGAGATGATTGAAGAATTAAATTAAACGTTTGTAATTTTCTAAACAACAAAAATGGATTATTCCTATATAAATTGTCCTTACACAAGCCAGACTTACATATTTTAGAAACTTTATTTAATTAAATCATTATGAAAACGTTGTACAAAAAATTTTGATTGTCTGACTATGTTTCTTACTTAGCGGGTATCGAAAAAGTATCGAAGAATGTTTTTGTTATATCTTTCATGGATCATTGATAACATTCAAAAACATTCGCTATGATTGCAACTAGTATTTTTGCAAAATATAGATATATTTTATATAAACATATTTATTTTATATGTGTATGTAATATTTATACCTATTAAGTAAATAATCGAGAAAAACTATAAATTGCACGATTTCTATTAGAATTCGCACAAAAATGCGTGATCAGATTGTCCCATAGACGGATTATTTTTATAAGACAGAGTTATTATAGTTTTCTTTCTTTTCAATTCTTGCTCAATTAGCGCAATAATTCACGAGATTTTGAAGTTAATTACTTTGTATATCACACAATTTTGTTTCTTCGATTCTTTTTGTATTCATATTATTGTTAAAACACATCTTAGACAATTTATCTATAATTCCTACCACATTGTAAAATCCTGGTTATAATTTTGAACAGAGTGTGTTTTGATATAAGCATGTATTTTAATATATATTTTATATAGATATATGCGAATATTCTGATTCTTTAATTATTTTTCTTAGTATAGGTATTATACATAATATAAATAGAATTATATCCAAAATTTTTAATTACATATCATCTAAAATAAACTCAAGTTTTAGTACTCGTGATGCATTTACTCATTTTGTTAAATGTTTTAAAAATCAAGTTATACTAACCTGTAAAATATTTATATAATAGATACATTATATATTATATGGTATTATTTAAAAAACGCGAGCATTTATGTTTCTTTATTTTGTAAATGCAATTATTTTATATAAAAAATTTTAATAATTTTATATTGTTATCTCCTTTGTACGTTTTTATAACATCTGTCCACATGAATGAACATTCCACATGCCAATTCAGTTGATAGTAAAATTGTATTAAAATGTAATGTGTTACTTCCTTCTTAATGCATATAAATAAGTATGAGATATACACCAAACATTATAAATCCGTATGTAAATTAATATTACGACGTGCGAAAAACTGTTAACCAAAAATTGTCAATATTGTTTAAAAAACTGTGAAGCGTAAATAATTAAAATATGTGATTTTAAATAAAAACATTCAATTTATAATGTCATTTTATAAGAATTATTTTCAATAAATTGAGCATTGACAGTTTTTTTTTTTAACAATAACTTTGAAGAAAACCCTATATGAAGTATTTAAAATATGTTTGATTATATTATTGATATTATCAATATATTGAAACACAGTTATCAATTGTTAATTTAATATTTTTTTAGCTCCGTGAATAAAAAACTAATAACTAAGTTGCTGAAATATTATCAAGAGACATATCAATCGTATCTGTATGATATCATCAGTGACGTCTCCCGTGCTCTCATTTCAGTCAATCGTTAACCGCCGTTGTAAAACAACGTACTTTCTTTCGGTTAGTATAATTTTCTACTGTGTGCACATTTTGCAATCCATAAGCTTGATCTATGAGCACGCGTTTTAATTAATTGTTTGTTAGTGCAATGTGTAAGCACAATTGTTTTATTTCATTAAAATCGCTTCATCTTTGCACAAGATGGATAATTTCACGTATTAAAAGTAAAGAATAATTATCTTTGATTTTAGGATTGACATTAAAACGAGGCAACAATGTTGAATATTATCATCAACACTGATTATTTGAAAAGTTGGAACGGTATTTTTAAATTGCTACAAGTGGTATACATTATTACTATTTTAATTATTTATTTGTTGACTTTTAGATTGTTGTTATACAATTTCTTGACTCATTCAAGTATTTATAATATTATCTTTAAACATGAAATAATTAATTATTAAATCCTTAACTTTCCAATAAAAATAGATAACATCCTTAAATAAAAATTTAATGATTTTTGATGCGTTTAATTGTAACAAATATGTGACGTTTAGTGAAAGAAATTAATATTATTGTTAATTGAAGGTTATAATTTGTTATACATATTTAGAAATACTTGCAATTTTAAGGTAATATTGGAAATAATAAGATAAGATTTCGTTATCGGTTCTGCTACAAACAGCTAATAATCATACGCAATTTATATTCCTAAGTAAACAGTTTTGTTGTATGTATTATTCTATTAATAAT